ATAGGAATAATAAGATCTGTCAGCAAAATGCACATATAATTTCTAACTTTTTTTTAAACAGGAAGGAGAGAAAAAACAGCAATGAAAAGGATTGGGCAAAATTATGAATTTTATTCAAATAGTTAAGATAATTTGTTGTTTGATAATGTGCCATTCTAAAGATGGACTCTGCCAACTATCAAATTATAGTAAATCCTATGGGTGTAGGGAAGAAAAGATTAAGGATATTAAAAATTGTATTTGCTGTCTCTGTATATTATTTAAAAAGTGTGAGCTTCTGCTTCAAAGAAGTAATTAAGGTGCCGTTAATGATTCAACAATATAAAATTATGCTAAGCATGGCTTGCAGATAAGACAAGGAGCAAAGTTCTGCAAAAAAAAGATTATGAAGGCTCAGGAAGAAATAAGAATGTTATCCTTTGTCTTACCTAATGCTCACAAGTATGATAAAAGACAAGTTAATAATTTCTCACACTGCAGTGGCACAGAAGAATTGGGACACTAAAAAAAGATTATTTTGCGAGGATGGAGAAAGACAATTGTAGGGAAAACCACAGGAGTTAAGAAAAAGAAATGGTAACAATACTGGCAAATCAAACGCAGAAACATCCCCTATTCTGCTTGCTTTTAATACATTAACTTTAATCCTGCGCGAATACTCCAATGCTGGGTAAAAAAAATCTGAAAAGGGGCAATGAGGTTTTTCATGTTAACTGTGAGACCAGGCCTAAGATTCAAGAAAAGGCATCGTAAACCTGGTTAATAGCCAGGCAAGGGTGCACAGCCACCCCGGGAAGGCCTCTGGTGACACCGGGGTCGGCGGCAAAGGTCCCGATTTCGCCAAATGCTTCTTTCTTACCGTGGTAAGGGGACGGGCTGCGGTGCACAAACTTCAGCAGCTCTTGCGCCGCCGCCTGCACCGCTTGCTTGGAGCTGGTCTGGAAAAGGGGGAACATACCGCAGTCGAATTAGGCGGGACTCACTCGCCCCATCCCGGTCCCTCCAAACGGGTCTCCCCTACGGCAGCCTCCCCGCTGAACTAGCGATCGCCCACCCAAACGGAGCCCGCCCTCCGAGCTCTTCCGAGCGCCCGCTCTTTCCCGCAGCGAACGAGCTTGGGGCCGCGAAAACCGCTTCCCGCTTCTCCTCTACCTGCATGCTGTTACCGGCTCTGCACCCCCCAAGACCAACAAGACGCCGCTACCCGGGGCCACCCCGCCTCGGAAAGAGTGCGATCGGCTCCACCCCGCACCGCTCGGCCTGCTGGGGACTGGGAAGGGAAGCTGTGGGTCGGAGCCCTCTGCAGGTGCCCCTCGGTACGACCGATTGGCTATTAGACTTAACCAAGGAAGGAAATTTCCCGAAGCTATTATAGGCCCTTCTTCTTTCTTCTAAGCGCGTCTGATTCCTGATGCGTGACTGGTTTCGAGGTACGGTGACAGAAGCTGGCCGATCTTGGCTGATTTCAAAACAGCTAGGCAAGTCAGATCTGGTGTGAATTTGGATGGGAGGCCACCAGGATATCCCAGGGCTGTAAAAGGCAGTGACAAAGCACTAGGATATTCCGCCTCCTAAGCTGTATGAAGTCACAAGGAATTAAGCTTGACTCAAGAGACATTTACAGTATATAGCCTGCTTTCACCTCCATCCCACTCTGAGTTCCCAGAGGCCTGTATAAACTAACTCCTGCTTAATTTTGGTGCCAATGCATTCCTTCAAATCAAGGGTAGGCAATATATGATCCGTGGGTCCCAAACACTTCCATTGGCCCCTCCTAGTCTCCCTTCCCTATCTGACTTTTATGAACACTGTTTTAATTTTTAAAACTGAAGCTGCAAAGCAGAAGATCACCTCTCGTGTCATGCAGCAGCAATGTCTTCAGCATGGAAAAAAGTCTTATAGAAAGCTACTTCATCTTCCAGTTTAAGGAAATAATTTGAAAGTTGCCATGCTCACCATTGTCTGTCCTTCAATATCCATGTTGCCATTTTTGTAGTCTGCCCACCATCTGTGGCCCCAAAGATTGCCAATTCATTTGTCTGCTTTATGTCTGCTTTACTAATCACATTTTCTATTCTGTTAACATTTATTATGTATTCTCACCAAGGATCTTTAGGATTTTGTTTCTAGCACTTGAAAAAATTAGTGTCACTGTAATATCCCCTCACACAGAATCTGCCTCATCCAAAAATAAAGTAGAAGTTATTGTCTTCAACAAATATTCACTGCCATCATCTTTTTTCTTCTCATCCAGGGTTATAGCATGATTTTTCTTCCAAAAGAAGAAAAAATATTTCACCTTTCTTTTGTATCAAAAATACCAATATGTCTTCAGCCAATATGTAGTAGTCAGTGATACTCTGACCTAAGCCTTCTAAGGCATGTTATAAGGTTAAGGTTACAACACTTAAAGATATAAACTGACACCAAAATTGTCTTTTGAAACGAATTGGACAAGAGTTGGACAAGATCCAAGAATATCTCCCCCCTCAAAAAAAAAATCAAAACTCTAATGAATGATTATAGACTTCAACTAGGAATTTGAGTACATGGAATTCCTGAACCATGGATGACTTCACCTTAATAGGAATGGGCTTAAATCTTTTTCTTCTTCACAGTCAACCACAGTTCCTGGGAAGGTTTAAAAGATGAGAATGCCTAACAAACTTTCTTCCTATTTAAAGAAACAGGAGACCACCCAGCTCGCAATTAATCCAAAACCTGCACTGCTAGAGGTATCAGGAATGGTTTGAAAAAGCCATAACTGAGCTATTTTGTTGAATCCAAGAGATTCCCCTTGACCCTCTCTTTTCCCAGTTGAAACAATTATAATGATAATTGTTTTATGACGTTAATTAGGAACTTATGTATTATAAATAGTTAAACCAGCACAGTGCTACAAGTTTATGCTTTCTGCAGTAGATGAATGCGCTATCCTTCTGGCAATTAAAAAAATGCTTGTATTATTTGCACTGAGTCAGAAATGGGAGATTGTAAAAGCCTACGTTACCCAAGATGATAATTTCTTTTAGCAATGTTTCTAACCTTTAATAAAGAGTGCTCACATAAAAAGGAAGAAACGGACCAAAAATAATAATAATAATATAGTTCACTAAGAAAAAGAGTTAATGTATTTGAATTTCTGAGTAAAAATAGAAGTGGCTTGATATATAGTAATTAAGTCAGAACAGATCATCATTTTTTCTAGGCAGTGTAAGTTTTACCTCCATATTCATAATTCATAACAACTTGATTTTAGCATTTTCTGTATGTAAAAGCAGCTGTGACCCTTGTTTTGCTTCAGATTAGTCTGTCCACACAGATACCCCAGATCTATGATCTTCTAGATCAACATGTTCGCTGCCAAGTCCTAATGCCATATAAGGAGGAACTGGCTTATGCTATGTGCATTCTTATATAAAGGCGGGATAGCACATGAAAACACTTGAACAGTCAATCACATCCAGCACTTGTGCCTCAGTTTTCTGTTGAAAATCAGTATTTTTTTTCCCTTTGTAGACATGATAACAACAGGTCATCGGCTTCATTTGCATTCAGGCTTGTACTGGAAATCAGATTACTCAGTCCCATTCACTTCAAGCGGAACAAAAAGTTAATACAATACTTGCATGCTCCAAGCCTGCAAGCCAAGGGAACAAGGGCTCATCTAGGATAAAAGGTGTGATCTGAATTTCCTCTTAGGAACATTTTCTTCTAATTTCTTTCTTTCCTTAGATTTAGATACTGCCCCACTTCGGAGGGACTCCAGACAGGTCACAAATTTAAACAATCAATAATATATAAAATACAATATATAAAAACCAACATATGTCTAGGCAACACGTCTTGTTAAAAGTCTATTATTTGCGCACCCAACAGCTTAGGTTAAAAACACAGCAGTGGCAGCCCATTTCTGGGAAAACTGGAATAGAAACCCAGATAGAAAAATGAAAGTCATTTTACATATAATCACACTGGTGGGTGGGGGAGAAGCATCAGTGATATGCCATTCATAGTTATTTGAGGCTACCAGAGAATTGCCTCTCTTATGATTGGACAAACTGGAAGTCACGTCCGGTTTGCTCGTAGGGCCGTTTTTTGCCCTCCTGAACCTTCAGGGAAGCCTCTTGAAGACCCCTGAAGGCCCTACGGGGAAACCGGAAGTGATGTTGGGTTTGTCCGTAGGTCGGTTTTTCACCCTCCTGAGCTTTATGGAAGCCTCCTGAAGCCCCCTGAAGGCTCAGGAGGTTGAAAATCGACACTACGGACAAACTGGAAGTCACGTCCGGTTTGCTCGTAGGGCCGTTTTTTGCCCTCCTGAACCTTCAGGGAAGCCTCTTGAAGACCCCTGAAGGCCCTACGGGGAAACCGGAAGTGATGTTGGGTTTGTCCGTAGGTCGGTTTTTCACCCTCCTGAGCTTTATGGAAGCCTCCTGAAGACCCTTGAAGGCTCAGGAGGTTGAAAATCGACACTACGGACAAACTGGAAGTCACCATTCCTGAACCTCTGGGTTCCCTGTGGGGCTGTTTTTTGCCCTCTGGAGCCTTCATGGAAGCATCCTGAAGACCCCTAAAGGCTCTGGAGGGCAAAAATCGGCGCTACAGACAAACTGGATGTCACCATTCCCAAACTTCCGGATTCCCCATAGGTCCGTTTTTCACTGTCTAGAGCCTACAGGGAATCCTGAAGCCTCTGGAGGGCCTCT